GCCGCGTCTTTACCTCGCTCCTTGAATATTTTCAGTCCTTTATTCAGATAGTATTGCTGAATGAACGAGACTCCGTCTTGTCCATTGATACCACCGTTGACACCCTCGCGTATTTGTTGAATAACACAAGCGACTACCAACGCTTCGTCAGCGTCATATTCGCCTTTGTTTGTGTTCCCGACTTGTTGGAATGCCAAATTATGCACGCGTTCTCGGATGGAACGCTCGTGCTTAAGGTTTCCTTGCAACTGTGCTCCATTTCTTCGCGTGTCAATTCGTTTCTTAATCGCTTGATACAGCGAGACTCGGAGTCTTTTCATTCGTGCTTTTCTTCTCATCGCACGCCTGTTTCTCAAAACGTTTGGCACAGGCGGATTCCTTTTTTGCAGGTATGCCTGTCCAAATCTTGATTTCTCTCTTCTGTATCTCTCAGTGGGTCTCATTTTTACCCCTTGTGAGAAGTAGGATCGATTGTGTCTTGGGCGAAGTACCCGTTTCGCTCCAACTTTGACACCGTCGTCACTGTAGCTTCTTACAATTCCTTCGGTGTTGGACTCATCATCATCTGTGTCCGCGAATCTCACTCCTGCGCGAGCGACACCATCTTCCTCTTCTGATTCAACTTCCACATCTTCTTGTGTGTCGTCATCAAACTCGAACAGAACCTCTTCTTCGTCTGGTTTTCCAAGTTCCACTAATTCAGCTGCCAGTTTGTCTAACATTTGCTTGGTCTCTTCATCGTCTAGTTCAGACTTGTATTTGTCTTCGTAGTCCATGTCCTCATTGGCAATTATCCATTTGTGTTCTTGGTAGTCTTCGTCCATCAGATCTTCAGCATCTTGTCTAGCCTTAATCTTCTTGAACATTCTGTCGAACATTTTGTCCTCTAGCTCATCTTCATATTGATTTGCTTCGCTATCGTATCTTGGGTTTCTGTCCCTGTCGAACCTTGCTTCCATGATGTCTGCTTCAGCATCCATTAGTAATTCATCAAGTTCGTCATCTGGAATATTTTCATTTTGGAGGGTTACATCACTCAGTCTTTCGATTTCGTTTACTGGTATGTAGTTTTCATCCCACAGTTCATCTGGGTCCACTCCTGCGAGCAAATCACCATCGAGGATTAGCTGGCCATTACGCTTGGAATAGGTGCGCAATTCCGTCACTCCTTCCAATCTTGCGTCTTCTTTGATAATCTTGATGACTTGGTCAGTCATCGGAAGAACCTTGATTTTTGCACGTCGTGCTTCGCACTTTGTGTTCAGATCATAGATACGGTGCCCTTCTTGAATATCGTCAGTGGGTCCCATGTAAACACCTTCGATCGTTTGAGCAGCCATATTATTCTTGGTTTCATGACCATATCTGTGGACATAGGCACCAATCTCAGCGACAAATTCGTTGGAGGCATCAACCATTCGTTGATGCATAATCATATGCGGGCTGTAGTATGCAGACAACCCACCTTTTGCCGGATAGTAGTTGGATATTTTAGCGACTCGTGCCATAAGTGCCACAATTAACTTCTTTGGAATCGCCTTGAATGGCATTCTGTGAAAGTGAACCCGAAACAGTGCCTTTAAATGCTGATTATTTCGTTCCGCTTTCGGATCATTTTCGCCTCTGCTGGCATAATTCATATGAACTTCAAGTTCGTCTTTCACGGGTTCAAATACCGGACGGAACTCCCCATCGCAGTAAATTTTTTCACTGTGAAATCACGTGCATTATATATTCGAAAGCATTTATCAATTGCGTCATACAATGCCGTTATGGATTGTGAAGCCAAGGGTATATAGCACCGGTATCTCACACTCCCATCAACGGTTGTGAGTCCGAATGAATTGTTAACAAAAATGAGATCAATGTGCAGCACAACATTCAGATTGTGCATTAATAACTCCTTTGGTATTTCTATCCAGTCATCCCGCACTCCTTCAGGTGTGGGACGCTTCGTCTTTCCTATTAGGACCAAAGAACCAGGTCCATATATTTTTTTGGCAATGATTGCATCTTCTTCATTCACGTTGCAGTTCTTGAACAGACCAGATCTTACTGCAATGCGAAACGCTTGAACTCCTGGTGCACCAGCCATATGATACACTGATCGTGCGCGATTAGCCCGCTCAACTTGTTTATCAGTGAACCCTTCGATATTCTCCCGTACCGTCTGTATGCCACAATAATCGGAATCGGAATAGCTAATTTTTAAAATTCTACCACAGAAAATAACACCACATTTATGGCATTCAGTGTGTGCGACACCAATCGCGTCACAGTCACCATTTCCGCATTCTCTGTATTCACATTCAGAGTATTCGGACCCTTCATCACTCTCTGCCCTACCATCAGGCACGAAAGTATACAATCCGTTTGGATGCACATACCTCATTCTCTGTTCCCCCTTTGTAACGATGAAGGAGTTTTCAATGTCAGTGTCCATAATGACACGGAATCCAAGCTTCACAAGCTCAGATAAGCTATCGAGGTTACATTGCGCTTCAGTATCTAGCAAGCAAGTGTGTCCTTCGATAATACTTGATTCGACCTGTTGATGCAGGTCACGTTGGCCAGTGTTTGTAGTAATCCAGGTCAGACACAGTGCCCGGTTTGGCGTAATCTTCGTTCATTCGTAGGCTGAACGTAGATCCAGAATCAAGATGTACACCAAGATCGATATCCCAGTGCTTACTTCCATTAGATTTGAAGGTTTCTTGTTGTCTTTGGTCCATTGAGAACAGTGCTTCAATGAATCCATCTTTGAGGTCGACTTGTAAATCTGCATGTTCAAGCTTCCATCGCTGACCATGCTGTCATCGTCCTTGAAAGTACTGGCAGCTTCTAGTTGTGCTTGCCATTTCTGCATCAGCAACTCTCCCCTGTCTTCAGTGGAGACTGCTTTCTTCTTCAGAATCGGTCTTACACGTACTTGTGCAAGGTTCCATCCTGTAATACTACCATTAGATCGACCATCAGCGACAGACCTGCCTTGTACCACATAGGAACCGGGTACATCCGTAGTACCAGAAGTGCTATGTCCACTCCTGTCAACAACAGCTCGTTGCATATTGCTTCGATGTTGTTGACCAGTTGATTGCGTTCCAGTGACGCTAGACGCGGCATCCGACT